CTCAGGTCCCTTCCGACCCTACTAACTATGAAACTATGTTAGACTTTTAGAAAGCTGTAATTGGTAATTCCTGAGTGTCTGCTAATTCCTAGCATTACTTTGCTATGTGCTCATTTGGGGAAGATGGGGTGGGGAGAGAGAGGGGAGTGGAAAACCTCTGAATCGAGAAACAGTCTAATTGGCTGCCTCAGTCTCTAGTTATTTTTGGCCAGCCGTAATAACAGGAGCAGAGTGTTCCTAGCTATTATTACTAACATACTATTATGATTGCAGTTTTGAAAGCTGTTACCAGAAAGCATCCTACTGTGTTAAAACTGGTTGGTATACTCATAGATCTGGCAGCCCTGTCCTGGTTTTTTTTGAATATCGCAATTTCTGTATGCTTCCTCATTTCTTTGAATGCATACCTGTAAATCAGCTGAGAGTAAGAGGCAGACATGTAATGTGTGTATTATATCTGCTAAGGAGACCAAAGTTGATGTGCATCATGACTTCCTGAGTCTAGAAAAAGCTTACAATAAATGTATACAAAAAGTGCATCATCTAGGTAGAGTGAATTAATTTTGGGGTTGACAACCGTCTCTCAGTTTTTGAAAAAAAATAGGCAAGTTGCTTGTGATGTCTGGGTAAGGATACTACAGTGCTTCTGAAAAGTAGTGGCAATATTGACTCACTCCTTCCCCACAAATATTATTGTATTTTACCTTTTTGAAAACTATTACTTCATTTGTGAAGGTCTAAGTGGTAGAATCTGTCAGAGGGGTAAGGAATGTAGCAACAGACAACTTTAAATTGTTTCCTTTATGTTAAGGGAAGCAAATATGTGAAATGTGTTTACTTGTTTACCAGAATTGTTACATTAGGTGTACAAAGCAAGGTTAAGCACTATTGCCAGTAGTAAACTATCCCTTTGAATTAAAAAATGTGTAAGTTTTCAGTTGTTTGCCATGGGTTTTCTTTTTTTTGCTCCAGTTAATGATTTGTGAGAGTAGGGTGTTCTATTCTGCACCCACAAATTATGGAAAAGGAAGCAAAATTATTTCATGCAATTGGATTTTTATGCTTTTTTTTTTTTTTTTTTTTTTTTTTTTT